GCCAATCAAGCACAGTAATCCCACGGTCATTGAACCAGGTTTTGGTGCTTTTGGCAGTGTGGGCAGGTGCCAAGTCCTGCTGGAAAATGAAGTCAGCATCCCCATAAAGCTCATCTGCGGAAGGAAGCATGAAGTGCTCCAAAATCTCCTGGTAGATGGCTGCGTTGACCCTGGACTTAATGAAGCATAGAGGACCAACACCAGCAGATGATATGGCTCCCCAAATCAACACAGACTGTGGAAACTTCACACTGGACTTCAAGCATCTTGCAGTGTGTGCCTCTCCATTCTTCCTCCATACTCTGGGTCCTTGGTTTCCAAATGAGATGCAAAAGTTGCTCTCATCAGAAAAGAGGACTTTGGACCACTGAGCAACAGACCAGGTCTGATTTTCTTTAGCCCAGGTAAGATGCTTCTGACGTTGTTTGTTGTTTAGGAGCGGCTGAAGGGACAAGACAATCACCCAGACTCCCAGAATATTGGTCAGAATTCGAGCTTCCTCTAACGAAGAAGTCCCCCCACTCTGAGGGCTCCCCAGCCTGACAGACTGGCATCAATCTTGAGAACTTGCCACAACTGTGGAGGAGAGGGCTTCCCTAAGTCTAGTGCTGGGTGTGAAAACCACCATGCTAGGGAAAATATGGCCCTGGAAGTGAGACGCATTGGATGGTTCAAGGACCACGTTTGTTTCACGTGGCCAGACGATGTGTTCTGGACGACAAAGTGTCAAACGTCAGACCAAGTTACTCCAATCTGTTAGATTTGCCCAGAGATGACTTCTGAGGGTTAAGGATCTAGTTAAATCTTTGCAGGTTCTGTACCATGGTTATTTAACAGAAGCTTGTTCAGCTATCCCAAAATGTGAATCCTTTCGGAATGGAACAGAAATTAAATCACTGGAGAGCTTGGACAAACGACAAACGGGCAATGCTGACTGAACATTGCAAAATGCTGATTGGTATGATGAGGTGGAAAAAACTTGATTTTTGTTACTCACTGTAAAATTGCTTTCTCTGAGTTCCTTGACGGACACAGCTCTTTTGAATTTTGACCAGAGGGTTATATCGACACCTACAGGAGTAGGACACTAGGCAGAAAGAAACCACCTATGGGCAGTCCTAGCTGGTATATAACCCCCTCTCTGCTATAAGCAAAACAGTTCTTAAAGTAGTGTAAAAGGAAAAACTCCAACAGAGGGGTGAGTGCTGTGTCTGCCAATGAGCTCAGAGAAAGAGATTTTACAGCTCTGTCGAATCTTGACCACAGGGATGTCCCAAAGCAGTGTCTCAATGAGGGGTGGGCAAACATGCCACCACCCAAACAACCCTCAAAGGGGAAAATAAGGAACATTAAAGAGCAGTCAGCAAAACCTTGCGGCCAAACAAAACATCCAAAGAAGCAAACACATCAACTGTGCAAAAATTTGTAACAGTGTGAACAGTCAACCAGGTAGTCACCTTGCAAACCTCAGATACAGATGCCAGAAGCATAGCAGGCACTAATTGCTCTAGCGGATCGTGCCGTAATGGGGAAGGGAGGAGCCCGGACCGTAATGTATGCCTGAACAAGTGTCTGCCACATCCAATGGGAAACAGAGGAGAGCACCAGGCCTTCCCCTTGGCTGTCCATTAAAAAAAATAAAAAAGAGAAAACTGACCTCTATCAGGAGGTCACAGTGGATGAGCACACACAAAGCACCTGGAGCACATCCAAGAAGTGCAACGCAACCTCCTGAGGATGCGACATCCATGGACACAAGGAAGGCAGGACAATGTCTTCAGGAAGGTGAGAATCCAACACCACCTACGACAGAAAGGGGGGCACAGAAGAAAAACCACCTTATCCTTGTGTAGAACCAAATAGGGAGGCTTACAAGATAAGGCCACTAGCTCAAAAGCAGCAACAGTGACCAAGAAGACACCATTTGGAGAAAGAACAAAACGGGAATACCCCAAACTCTCCAAGGAAAGGCTTTTGGAGAACCAAATTTGATTTCCTCGTGATAACAGGAAACGCACGAAGGATGCCAGATGACAAGCCCTTTAAGAAAGGTGCTAGCAGGAAGTACATGACCAAGGGATGCTGAAAGAAAAGACAGCAGGGGTTGACAGAAACTTGACCAGTAAAGCTGGCACACAAGGCAAAGGTACGTTCACTGCCCTGTTGACAAAAAAACCTGGCCAACACATCACCAAGAAGGGACGAGGGTGAATATCCAAAGCTGCGCACCAGGCAATCAAAGTCATCCAGGAGTGATGATATATCCTTCAAGAGGCAGACTCACAAGCCTCCAACACATAGATAGAAAAATCAAACCTGACAACCCCATGGTCTGCTCAATGTCAGGCTGTCAATGGCCATGCATCGAATCCAGAGACGAAAAGGCCAGATGGCAAATCCAGACCCTGAGACACATGGTCCTCCTCAGCGCAGAGAGGCAACCGCCAAGGGGCGTCTGACCGGAAACAGCTGCACATTCTCGTATCGATATAGGCCACCACTGTGGCATAGTCCATTTGGATCCTGACCAGGAGCTCACAGAGATGTTCGTACAGTGCTCCGTAGACAACGCAATCGCTTGTAGCTCCAGGACAATGATGGGCATGCAAAATTCCATGGAGGTCAGCAACCTAATGGCAACTGAACTCAGGACCCCTTCCCAGAACAGGCTTAGCAGCCGATGTGAAGACCATCCAATAGAGAGGAAGAGAGGACTCCTCAACTTACAGGGCTGGGAAAGAAAACACACCATAGGAGGGAGGCCTTCGACGACCAGTCTGGACAAATCTGGTTGTTCAGGAAAACAGATGTATCCCAGTTGGGCAGGATTTCCTTCAGCAGAATTATGGTGTCTTATGCTGGGCACCATAACATCCAGAGTCTGCATGCCAGACAGCAGGGATGAACAGCTTGTGGCACAATAGCAGTTGGACCACAGTCCGAAACTTCCAGAGTTAGGTCACCAAGAAAAACATGAAGTCTAGCTCTGGTCAAGTATCAGGCCCATATACTCTAGTCTCCTCTTAGGGGCAGACTTCTTGAGACTTAGAACCCATTCGAAGTCCTGCAGGGGGTGCACAGAAATCCTAATGTAGACCGTTAGTGCAGAAGCAGGTCATCCAAACAACCAATCATGGCAATCCGCCGTTGTCTCAGCAATACTAGGACCAGAGCCAGCCCTTGGGGAACACTCAGGAAGACAACCAGCCCAAAGGGGAGTGCCACAATTTGACAATGTGCATGCCCACCACAAAGTCCAGGAACCGTCGATGTCCCTCATAGATGGGAACTTGAAAGTATGCATTTGTGATGTCCAAGTATGCCTGAAAAAAACCCCGGAGGGAGAGAGAGGTCACAGAATCAGCAGGAACAAACAGGACTTACAGGTTCAGGATCAGGTGAACCCTGGCCTTTTTGGACCGAGAAGAAATATGGGTGAAAACAGCCAAACTGATCTGGCTACGGTACACAGAAAATTATTCCCTAGCAAAGCAGGGCCAGCACCGCACTGCACACAAAGGTGCAAGGGAGAAAGATGAAAATTGAAGGGAAGCATTTCCCTGGTGGACAAGGATGAAAAACCTATGTCGTGGCCGGACACAAACAGTACATGGACCTACCAATTGGAAAGAATAAAGGGCCAATTGCCCAAGAACCAGCAAAGACAACCCCCACCCTGGAAACGGGTGGGATAAACAGACATGCAGAGATAAATACATCCGTGGGAATGGTGGGCTGAAGATCCAGGACAACCCTGCCCCATCTGTGGGGTCCTAGAGTGACTCGGAGCCCTTGTCAGAGGAGCTCGAAGTAATGCGATTGCCAAGATGAGAAATGGCAGGATCTACCACATTTTCTTAAGGTCTTTTTTCACTAAGATAATGCTAGATGAAACCTTTAGGAGGAGCAAAAATCTTCTCTGGTTGAGGTTGGTGCAGCCAACAGGCTGGCCAAATGACCAAGATAAAAAAAAAAGAAAAATCACAATGGTGGCAACCCACAGAAGCAAGGGTACTAGGGCACTGCACAGATGTACTACTACCCCTAAGGGAGGGTAGCACAGCTTTTGAAAAAGGGCGTGGTAGTTTAAGAGTGGGGGGCACCAAACACTATGTTTCACGTTAGACCCCAAACAAGCATGTAACATGAAACATACTCAGAAAGGTAAGTTAGCCTTTACGTTTTGTGTAAAGTGAGGACGTTTTAAAGCCCCTTTTAGGTTTTTATTGACTTTCCAATAAACATTCCAATTTCATTAGGGTTACTGTGGTATTGTGCATTCTTTGGAGTGGAGCACTCACATTCCTTCGCATTGCTGCAAATGATGTGAAACACATGGAACATTGTGGTATCTTCACATTATTAAGTGAGCAACCTATTTCTCCTTCATATGTACCATAATTAGGGATTGTAAGCTCGTTTTTCATTGCTGATCGCATCTGTGCTGGAGAGATTTACCTTCTGTAGTTGTCCAATTTCACTGGGGCAGAAATTATGGGAAATCTAAAAATTTACAGCTATTCTGGGAACAGGAAAATCATCCAATTCATTGTCCAACACCTGTTCAAGCAAAAACAGGAAGTTTGCCATCACTTTGGAGAGATTTCCTCCTACTTCCTTTACATGTAACTGTGACAAGAAGAGACAAATTTCCCCAAGGACACAGAAACAAAATAGAAAAATTTTAAACTTAAAAGGCCAACCCTTCCCATTCCATCCAAAACAACAAAAAAAAAATTTCCTTTAGATGTATTTTAGTCTACCGAACATCTAAATTTTAAAGAGCTTTTCTCCAGGTAACGGATCCCCTTTATACAACCTGATAAAACTTGATTCAAGTAAAAGAACCTTATTAGAAATCCTTACAATCCTAGAAGCCTTACAATACAGTATATAAGTAACCCCGGTGTTACTCACTATTATATACAGTATGCAATCAGAGCTTGTGTATATGGATGCAATGTCTACTAGGTCTAAACTTTTCTTAGTATTATACATACCTGTCATCTTTGTTAATCTGGTCTCCAAATCCTACAGTGTCAACCACAGTTAGCTTCAGACGGACATTACTTTCTTGAAGTTTCATAGCTTCTTGCTTTTAATCGGACCCCAGGCTCACAGTGAGAAACTGGTTCACTTTCAAACTTGGTATTGAATATAGTGTCCATTAAAGTGGACTTTCCAATGCCTGTTTCCCCTAAAAACAGAAACAACAATGGTTGTGCTGGTGTTATGGTGTTTAAGCAGGTGCTCAAGAGTTACAGCTACAGTAAAAACAAATAAATAAATAAAAGCTCTTAGGAAGTGCAATATTCCCCTTGTGGCAACTAGGTTTGTCTATGAGAAATCTGTATTTGACATATTTTCCTACTCTAAGCTGAGGAGTATGAATTATACCAACTTTAATAAGGTGCTTGCAAACCACATTTGTGGACACATAGTAGTATATTTGAGGGTTGTCATCAGCACTATAACTACAGTAATCAAAGATCCTGGGCTAAAACATCACAAGGCACATATTAGGAGTAGGCTTTCTCCTAGCACCTAGTTTTTGGATTTCAACAAATCTAAGAAATTAGCAAGCAATAAAAATGTCCCTTAAGAACACTTAAAAGGAAGGCTTATGATTCATGGCCACACAGTATAAGCTTGTAAATGAATCATCAACCTCAGAGGCAACTGGGATTTTAAACATCATAAACATGCCCATCATTAAATATGGTATCCATGCTACACACTGGAACCAGAAAATAATGCATCTACAGGCCAGGCACAGACCGTAAGCTGCACTAAAAATAAAGACAATCTGGTTGCTAAGGGATAGCCAGGGCTGGATTCCATCACTGGAGCCTGTTGACACAAAATGTTTGGCACCCAATACTACTAAAGATAATCAGTTTTTTTACATATTATGTTTCTTTTTTAACAGTCCTAACTAGGCTTAGAATATTGGCTGCATTTGTTTTTTTTAATTAATAAGCAAACAATATCTGGACTTGGTAGTAAAGTAAGCATCTCTGCCACTCAACTGTTACGTGCTTAGTAGGATCAAACATTCGGTTACAAAATGTGGAATTGGTTCAAGTATGTGATCATCTGCTGCAAATCTTGTGTGTTCTTCGTGATAAGCTAGTTTGTCATTGGTACTGTATGGAGAGATCAAGAAAACTGCTTCATAACAAATGGGTACCCATTACCATGTACTTTTTGAGCTAGGCAAGCTAATAGCTACTTGATGACCAGCTAGTGGCATCAAGCTCTCAAGCAACACAAGCTTTCCAGTAAGATTGCGTATTTGCAAATAGCCATTATGAATTATTTGTTACTCAGATATGTAGAGATTATAGTAAGTGATACTTGAATCTTCATCACATCTGCAGAAAATAAGCCTGTTCACGGCCAGCATTACAGGTACATCTTCAGCCAGTCATCCATTCTGAGGGCACTAAGGATACTGCAAAGAACAATATCCTCTGCTACATAATTATCCAAGTAATAAGCGTAAGGCTTCCATTAGCTGAATCTAGAGCAATTGCTTTATTCCACATTTTTCATGTTCGCAATAAAGTCACGACAGTTGTAATTTTACCTTTACATTTAAGAATCACTAGATGGAAACTAACATTCTGTCAACAAGGTGCAGTTTACATATTATAAACAGATTTGCAACCAATTACACTATAGGCTATAGAAACAACAAAACTTCTGCAACTAGAACTAGTGCTTATTAGATAGTTTGTGAATACATGAATGAAAAGAACACTTCTCTAATTCAGGCCTGACAAAAAGGAGCAAAATATGGAATGAAATGATATTTTTGAGGGCACACGCACAGGTATGCTTTTACATTTATGGCAACATATTTTTATGCAACTTGCCTATGTCCTATATCCCTATGGGAAATGAAAGAGGGCATGACAACAGGCAGTATGTACTGGAAAAGAGTGCTGAAGGGTTTGACACAATAGGCTCGATTAACAACATATATATATATATACACAGTATATGCAGCTTCACTTGTATTTTTGGTATATATATATACCTGTATATGAGCGGCTTCACTTGTATTTTCAAATGTGTGAGCGATTCATTTTAAATTTAATGTTAAAAATATTTTAGTTAGGTTCTCTTTCTTAGCTTGAAGGATTAAGCACTGGAGATTTTTTTTGTCCTGGTGCCAATGGATCATTTTTGTTAAATAATAATACAAATGGTGGACTGAGTGCTTTGCAAAAGAAGCCCACAGAGCATCTGTAACTGAAAATTAGTTTGTTCCAAGTGCAGGATGTTCTCACTTTATGACCAGTATTGACTTACCATAGAAAGCTATTTCAAGTATGCTTGACATGATGGAAGTATAGGGGCTGCTGCTGTTGGTCTCCTTTAACTCTTTTGCTGCCACCAACATAAGGCATTTGGGGGCAGAGAACCACTTCTAACTCGCCATACGGTGGCTGCCTTCCCACTTCTGCCATAGGCTCATGGTCACTGAAGTGACCATGCACCTATACGAGAACTGTCTCCCAGACGCTGCTGCATAAAAGAATAGCTGTGATTAGTGGCTGAGAAGCCACTGATCAAAGCCATTTATCAAAAACATGATGCCATTCACATCAGTGGGCACATATGATGTGTATAACCTGCACGTGTCAGTATGCTCTGTGCACAAGCACGGCAGTGCATTGTTGAGCCCTATTTTGTGTTTGTTTGTAATTTCTATTACATTCACTCAGCTTCGTATTGTGTCACATTACCATGCATTAATAATGCAAAAAAAAAAGTGTGCCTGTATCATTTTATCACAAGACACACCAATGAAACATTTACGTGGCACAGCGATTGGGCATTATTACAATACATAGGTGGGAAGCCCACCTCCAGATTGATTATTTACAGTTTTGTATACTTTCCCATTTTCACCTTTTCGCACAAGGGCACAATTTAAAATGTATAAATATCTGCTATTTTATAACTCAATACAGTTTTAACCATTAGATTTAGTAGCAGTTTAGTAGGAATTATGGGGGATTTACTAAAACTGGAGAGTGCAAAATTTGGTGCAGCTCTGCATAGAAACCAATCAGCTTCCAGGTTTTATTGTCAAAGCTTAAAGTGTTAGTAAACCCACAACAGAAAAATCATTCTGTATATGCAGTAAAACATGCTTGTTATACTCACTGTGAAACCTGAGAGGTCAATCCTCCACATTGTGTAAAAAGGATGTTTGATCCTCCCCTTCTTCCAGTGTCCCCCTTTTATCTTCTGATAGAACAGAGGCTCAGGGGCAAGTTGCACATGCTCAGTTTGGTGTGTATTGCTAGAGAGGTTTTTTTTTTTTTCTTGCAAGAGTGCATGCGATCAGCACAAGGCCAAGCAGCACTCTCCAGACAGAGGTCAGGGGTCCTGCATCCTCCTACACAAGAATGAAAACTCCTCCTACAAGCTGTAACCAGTGCATTGCTGGACACTGATAGAAGTTACAAGACTGCTATATACTGCTGATGAAAAAAGGTATTTAGCAGTTTATATTTACTAAAATAATTGTATTTCCATGTTCTGTGTACTGTGGAGGACCAGATATAGTGAATGCTGGGTTTAGTAACACTTTAAATGAACAAGCTGAAGTGCTTTAGTTTTAGTAAATTTCCCCCTGTGGAAGTTGTGTTTGTGAGTGCTAATATTGTAGTGTATTTTTATTGAAAATATAATTTTTGATAAACATTTGTGTAACCATCACAAGACCTACAAAATCAGTAGCGTCTTTTTTTTTTCCTACTGCGCCTAGGTTTTCAGAGAATGTGTGGTTTCAGAGAAGATAACCATCAGATATTTAGAGCAAGTTGCTTTACAAACATTTTGGAATTTACATAGTTTTACAGCTAAATAGCATGAATGAAATATATGCATAAAATATATTAAGTGCACAAATAATCTTTTTCTGCCTCCTGTAGGAGTATGGTAGCAGAATGGCTCTCCTGTGCTAGATCATGTATCTAGTAGATGATCCGGCACTTCCAGGTAGGGAGCGCACTGGCTGTGCTGTGATTAGTTAAAGCAAAAGCTGGTTAACGGGTGCCAGCCAATGACTGAGTGCCAGAATCCGCTGATTGGCAAGGAGGAAGACAGGGCACAGCTCTGTCAATGTAAACAATACAGAGCTGTGTCCTGTCAGTGGGGATGTGCAGGTTTTTGTTTCCCTGCACAGCAGGGAACAAACACCAACACATCCCTTAGTGAAAGTACCTCACAGTACACAAGCACTGGTTAGGCACACATTTGACCCTTCGATTGCCCCTTCCCAGCCAGTGTCATTAGTACATTGACAGTGTATATTTCTAGCACAGATCACTGTATTAGCGTCACTGGTTCCCACAAAGTGTCAGTTAGTGTCAAATTGCCCACCATACTATCGCAGTACCACTATAACTCGCTGATCACTGCCATTACTAGTATTAAATAATTAAATAAAAATTCCAGTATATATACACACCATAGTTTGTAGACACTGTAAGTTTCATGCAAATCAATCAATATACTCTTATTGGGATTTTTTTTTATCAAAAATATGTAGCGGAATACATTTGGGCTAAAATTATGAAGAAATTAAATTTTTTAATTTTTTTTTTATTGAATATGTTTTATAGCAGAAAGTAAAAAAAACAGTTTTTTTAATTTTTGGTCTTTTTTCATTTATAGAGCAAAAAATAAAAACCCAGTGGTGATTAAATACCACCAAAAGAAAGCATAAAAGTAATGTGTGTGCATATGTATAAATGGTTCCTTACAAGAAAACAAGGAGTTTACACAATGCATATCTTTGAAGTTTTGTAATTGTAACTGAGTATTGATTTATTTTAGACAGACCTCGCAAAATCAAGTACATGAAAATGAGTTCACTCACCAACACATAATATGTTAAAGCAGAATCCCTGTGAAGTTGATTTGTTGACAAGCTGGTCAGGAAGACTGTCAAACCCAACATGCCCAGATAAAGACAAAGTTCTGAGGTCATCATTAGGTGACTAAAAAAAGAGAAACAAAGAGGTTACAAAAAAGTTGCAATTATATTTACAATGCAAAAATACTTGAAATCATTTTAGTATTGTGTCCACTGGAAACATTTAATTGTTCACCTCCCATTGTTGTGACCTATGCAAGCTACAGTACATTCAGTTTTTAAATGAGAAGTAGGGCCAAAGCTCTGATGTCACCGAACCGGTCCAGACTCTGGAGAGATACCAACTTTAAAGTTGGAATCTACCCAGATGCCTTGACCAGCAGTGGTCTTTGATTGCTTAGTTCTTGATCTTAGAGCAGGCAGGGGACAGATGCAGCATCGGAGCGATGGAGAAATACTGCATCCACCTAGCTGAATATGTACTGCAAGTTTTTTTTTTTAATTCCCGAATGTCTCAATATTCTATTCTTAATTTGGGTTTCTATTCATTTCTGATTTAGAAATTTAAAATCCAATGAAAATACATAACGGACAAATAATTTACCAGGTAACAATGCATTGTCATGATAATGTTCAGTACAAGACACTTGCAAGCAATGAAAGTGATTTCAATGGAGCGACTAATCCTAATAGTTTAGGCCACATCAGACAGGTGATTTTTTTTTATCAACGATTAATCACTGCTACAAATCGTTAATATCAGTGATTAGCAGTGATTTGTAACTAGCCATTTAATAGCTACGGTAATTCGCAATATCTCACTACTAGAAGTTATAACTAGTGCTACAGCATTTAGCTGGTGTGCCCTGCTACAAATTGCTTTCTTTCAGGGATTTGTAGCAAAGCCAAGAGGATCACTGCAAATAAATCGTGCTTCTCGACATGGCCATTAAAGAGACTTCAACAAGCTGGATAACCAATGTTCTTTGACTATACCCATGTGGATTGTAAACATAGCAGAAGCAACTACTACAGCATGAACCCAATCCTCTGCAGGTACAGTATATGTATTGAAGCAAATGCCCAAAGACCAATACACAGTTCTGTCAGTTATGGTGGAAAATCTAATCGTGCAACAGCTCCACATGGTTTGGTATGAAGTAGCTGCGCAAACTGTTGGCGCTATATAAATCCTGTATAAAAATAATAATAAAGTAGCATACAGCCATTGATATTGTCTCATACTATTGAGAGGTGTTAGAGACAGCTTGTCCAACTGCTATGAGGCAAGATCAAATTTCAATCAACAAATGCTTGAATCTATAGATTTCATAACATTTCCAAAGCCAAATCAAGCAGCCTAATCTTACAGTTTATGTGCTCAAATACCTGACAGATAGCAAATTCATAAAGCAAATGTCCAGTTACTGCAGACTCAGAGCAGCCTCACACAAACAAGGCAACTGTTCAGTCCTATAGCACAATAAAATCAAATGCTTAATGCCAAAAGATCTGGGTAGGCTCAGTAGAATTTAAACTAAACATTATCAGATAAAATAGAAATAATGTTTAGTTTATCCACATCCTCTACTTTAAATGTAAATGCTTAAAATGTACAGAGTACTTTGTTAAAAGTGACCTTCAGAAGCCCCACATCCCTCACATAACCAGCAGAGCATTGCTTCATAGCTTTAGTGCAGTCATGCAATTCAGTCTTTGTTCCACTATCATCAGTATGCATCTAACAACAGATTCCCCAACTCTGAGGTATATCACAGTTAAAGGTGTGGTAAAGTATTCCACATATTAAAAAAAAAAACCTCAAACTCCCGCATACACAGCGATTTTCACACGCAAAGCAATCAATCAGGTAGTACAGGCCTGCCTTTGAGATTATTATCTAGCACATTGGGAAGTTTTGTTAACCAATAGGTAATTCAAAGATACTTTGATTGAAGATTCTCCTCAGTAATGTGTCAGCAGCCAAGCTTGTGAGAAAAGTGGCAGCAACTTAAAATATGACTGTGTATGGTCAACCTCTGTTAAGTCTAGTACACACGAGCCGAATGTCGGGAGGTATCTGCCGGTTCAATAGAAACCGGTCGACATTTGGCCCATGTGTAAGGCAGCCTGTCTGACAGAAGATAGCCAGTCGGCCAGTTTCTGTGGAAGGGGCCAGACCGGAAATGGTCTGCAGATCAGCTTCCGATCTGGTGGGGGCCACACCCCTGTCAGAACACAATAGCACAGCAGGGGAGAACGCTGTACTAACATCAGATAGTTAGTACATCGGCTCCTCCTGAGCTGTCAGATTTTTTTTTCGTTCAGCCCGCTGAGTTGAAGTAAAAAAAAAAAAACAACTAGTAGTGTGTACTTGTCTTTAGGGCTTTTAGAAAGGGTTCAAGTTCAGTATGCTTTAAGGTGCTTGAAATGTAGTATTCCATGCAAAAGTTTGCTTCTAGCTGTTTTGCATTGCATCAACCTACAATCCTTGTTAATTTCATCGACTAAAATATAAAATATTTCCTTTAACTAAATTAACCATTAGCTGCCCGGCCTATAGCCGTTTGGCGGCCGCAAAAGTGCTGTAGATTTCCGGGGTATACGCCATTTGGCGTCCTCCCGCACATGCACAGTTCACGCGGTTGCAGAGCCGCGCAGCGGCCTGATCTGTCACCAGCCGTGTACCTCGGACACGGCCGATGACAGATCTGAGTACCGCCCCCCGTTGCCGGTACCATGTGACCTGCTGTGACCAATCACAGCAGGTCACATGACAGTTGTATACAATGGATGGCTTCATTGATGCCATCCATTGTATACTAGTGCCTAGCTGTGAATGGTCACAGCAGGTCACATGCACATGATTAGCTGTGGCCAAATCACAGCTAAGCACAAAAAAAAAAAAAGAAAAAAAACCTGAATGAATCGATGTCATTCAGGTAAATGCTTGCTTATAGCAAAGTAATTCTTTGCTATAAGCAAATTGTGTAAAACAAATACTATGGTACTGTGGTAACATTGTACTACTGTACTACTTGTACTACTATTGTACTACTGTACTACTGTACTACTACTGTATGGTAACATTGTACTACTTTGGTCATAGTAAAATATGAAAAAAAAAATCTTAAAATTTTTTTTAAAAAATGTAATAAAAAATTAAAAATAATAATAAAAAAAAAAAAAAAAAAAAAAAAGTGTCCCTGTTCACCGCTATGCCAGTTATATGATGATGCTGTACTGCACTGGTGACAGTATGTAAAAATAAAATAGTGAAAATAATTTTTAAAATTTTTTCATTTTCTGAAAAATTATGACAAAAAAAATACAACTTCAAAAAACTCGCCATTCCTCTTATGAAGTACGTCAGACTGTCTACTCTGCAAAAAGGGGTCATTTGGGGGATATCTGTACTATTCTGACTTTCTTGGACCTCAAGAAATTAGATTGGCTGTCAGTACTTCAGGATTGATCAATATTCAGATCTATACCATAGTTTGTGAACTCTATAACTTTCCTACAAACTAAATAATACATCCTAATTTGGGTTATTTTCACCAAAGACATGTAGCAGAATACATCTTGGCCTAAATTTATGAAGAACAATTATTTATTTGTAAACGTTTATAACAGAAACAAAGAAAAACGTGTTTTTTTTTTTTCAAAATTTTTGGTCTTTTTTTGTTAATTTAGCAAAAAATAAAACCCCAGCGGTGATTAAATACCACCAAAAGAAAGCTCTAGTTGTGTGAAGAAAATGATAAAATTTTAGTTTGGGTACAATGTTGTATGACTGCGCAATTGTCATTCAAAATGTGAGAGCGCTGAAACCTGAAAAATGGCCTGGGCAGGAAGGTGTAAAATTGCCCGGTATTGAAATGGTTAACACTATTTTAGTTCACTAAAATACGACTAAAACAATTCAGATGACTAAAATACGACTAAAACAATTCTAAAATGGCATTTTAGTGACTAAAATACGACTAAAACTAAAATGGCAAAAGACTGACAAACGTAATCAAAATTCGACATCAAAATGAACACTGCACTACCACATAGGAATAAGTAGAGTGCATCTACTAAGCTGCTGAAAAAAAAAAAGAAAAAAAGGCTTTTCTTTTTTTTCTTAATATGTAATATATGCAGGTAATATGTACAATGGCATTACAGCCTAGAGAGTTTACTGTTTTTTTTAAAAATATATTTTCAAGTTGCAATTCTGTTTGTCAAAAAGCAATATTTGTGTTTGTTTATGAAACTGTTTTATTTATAAAGTTGTTATATATAACAATGGCTAAATCTGTGTCTGTAGTGCATGTTCTCACCTTATTACCATAAATAACGTGATTCGATTTTTTTCCAGGAGTATATAATGAGTTTGGCAATTCTAGAGAAATGCTTAAATAATGCATTACAATTTCAATAAACCCATTAGATTTTAGTCAACTAAAATAATTAAAGTCAAAAGACTGACGAAAACTAAATTGAAACTTGACGTTAAATTTAACACTGCCTACAATTTGCTGTAGCATTTTCATTGCCTTTACAGTACTAGTTCCACTCTGTTCAAGTGATTGTAAACCTCAGACATGAAATATGAACAAAGCATATCCCCTATAGTGTGTACTTGCCTCAATTAAGACCACCAAGTGTCATTTATGTCTGCTTCTTCATTCCTTTGCTATCAGCATAAATCACTTCTGATAAGTTTTCCTGACGCCAAGAGCAAAATGGTGACAGGGGAGGGAGTTGCAGCAGATTGACAGCATCAGCTCTGTTCCTGTGTGCCCTATGAAGGGGGGTGTCTCTTCTCTCCAATCAGCTCTCAGAGCTCTCCTCACTGAGCTCTGCAGACTGTAACTTCAGCTCTCCGCCCCCTTTTTTTGACAGCTCTACAAGCTTTATAAATTCAGCACTTTGAACAGATGTAGAGAAGAGAAGACTTCAGATAAAGTGGTACAACTGTAGGTGGATTTATTTAATCTCAGTGTATCACCAGAGGCCAGTCACTTCACTGGGTATATGTAAGGGTTTTCAACCACTTTCAGCACAGGTTTGCTCTTAAGTGAAAAAATATGGACTGTGGGGTTGCAAGCTGTTGAACTTGATGGACTGCGGTCT